TTTACCCTTGGGCACAACTGTAAATAAATTGTTTTTCAACACCAGTAGGAAATTGCAATGGCACATTGAGTGCAACAAATATGGGGACAGCTTTTCATAAGCTTCTAAATAAAAGATATGTCATAGATTCAATTGATATTTTTAACTCTGAGTTTTCCAATATTTCGGTAACTCTGATATTGCATTGTAGTAGATATATCTTAGTGTTGTAGGGGGCAGAGTGAAGGACAATTTAATTGATATTTGGAATTAGGCACCTGTATTACAAGAAGAGGCTACATAACTAAGAAGCAAAGGTTCAAGGAAGATGTTAATGATGCATTCAAGATCCTAAATTTTGTGTCAGCCTGGCCCAGTTGGTAGCGCTCTCACCTCTCAGAAAGTTGTGGGTTCAAGACCCACGTCGTAACTTGGAATTCTTAACAGTTGAGGCTGATAACCCAATACAGATCTGGGGTATGATGTCATTTTTCAGATGAGACATTAAACTGACGCCCGTCTGCCTGTTCAGGTGGACCTTAAAGATCCCATGGCACTATTCAGAAAAGAGAAGGGAACTTCTCCCTGTGTCAAGAACGACAACAAAATTACATTTGTATAGTGCTTTTCACATTGGGAGGAGGACGTCCCAAGGCACCGGACAGACAGAGTTTCGACCCGAGCTGGGGGTTGGAATCGGGGAGGGTGGAGGGCAGCAGGGAGATCGAAAGCACGGTTGAAGAGGAGGGTCTTGAGATGGGTCCTGAAGGAGGCAAGGGAAGGGGCGAGGCGAAGGGACTGCAGGATGGAGTTCCAGAGGGTGGGGGCAGAATGGCAGAAGGCCCGCCCGCTACTAGTGGGGTGAGCGAAGTGGGGGACGTGAAGCAGGCTGGAGCCCACTGAGCGGAGGGAGCGAGCAGGATGGTAAGCAGTTAGAAGGTCGCAGAGGTAGAGGGAGCAAGACCATGGAGGACTTTGAAGGTGAGGACCAGGATCTTGAACTGTATCCTCTGTGTGATGGGAAGCCAGTGGAGTCAGGTGAGGATGGGGGTGATAGGGTCATGGAGCCTGGTGTAGGAGAGGACACGGGCTGAACAGTTCTGGATGACCTGCAGCCTATGGAGGGAGGAGTTTGGGAGGCCAACAAGCAATGAGTTTGCATAGTCAAGCCTCGATGTAATGAATGCATGTATGAGGGTTTCGGCGGCCTGCCGTGTGTGACGGTGGCAGAGCTGGGCAATGTTCCGAAGGTGGGGGAAGGCAGAACGGGCATGGCACAGATGTAGGGTAGAAAAGATAGTTGAGGGTCAAACAAGATGCCAAGGTTCCGGACTGGCTTAGTAAGGTGGAGTGTGCAACCACGGATGGTGATGCTGTCAGCGCCTGAGGTGTAGAGGCGCTGACGGGAGCCAATCAGGAGGGCCTCGGTCGTGTTGACATTCAACTGAAGAAAGTTAGCTCTCATCCAGGACTTGATGTCTGACAGACATTCTGTCCGGACAGCAGTGGTCCTGGAGTAGAGGGTGGAAGAAGAGAGGTACAGTTGGGTGTCATCCGCATACATGTGGAAGCTGACCCCATGTCTGATGTCACCAAGAGGGAGCATATAGATATTGAAGAGGAGGGGACCAAGGACAGAGCCCTGAGGAACGCCACACGAGATGAGAAACCGTTTGTGGAGATGAAGTGGAGGCAATGTGAGAGGTACGATCTGAACTGGTCAAGCACAGAACCATGAAGGTTGAGGTGAGAAAAGAAGTGGTGTCAAAGGCCATCCATCCCCCAGACAAAATTGGTCATTCACTCCATGGCTATTCGTGAAATGTTTTTGTGCACAAATTGGCTGCTGCTTTTGCCTGCAAATACAGTCACTGAATTTTACAGTATGTTTTGTTTTACACTTTGAGACATCCTCACAACATGAAAGGTGCTGTATCAAAAAATATCATTTATTTTTATTATGAAGCTTATGTCCAATTTTTCTGATGATACTAAATCAGTATAATTGGCAAATGATGGGAATGATTGTAAGACATCACATAGTCTAAACAAATAATTTGACAATGGCAGTTTAATGCTGATAAATATGAAGTATTTCACTTTTTTTTAATGAGGGCAATTATAGTCCAAAGATGAAATACTCAATGGAATGAAGGAACAAAGTGTGTCCAAATATATAGATTGTTAAAAGTCGGTGGTAGGTATAAAAAGCTATGAAGAAGTCAGAAGATATTCTTGGATGTATAAATAGGAATATTGAATATAAGTAGGGAGGTCACGTTGTATAGGTCATTGGTTAGGCCATAGTTGAAGTCTCATCTGCCTGTTCAAGTGGACATGAAAGATCCCATGGTACTAATCAAAAGGAGAAGAGTTTCTCCTGGTAACGTGGCCAAATAAGATAACTGTTTGTTGGACGCTGCTATGTGTAGTTTGGCTACCTTGTACATCTACAAAAAGTTCAAACACTACACTTTACACTGTATCCCTTGTAGCACTGAGACATCCCCTCGATGTGAAAAGGCAGAATACTAAATGTATGGATTATAAACTGCAATTTAAAAAAACTCAGATAGTTGTGACACAGGAATGGTGGGAGGAATTAGCCTCTATCTGTTTTTGTTTATAATGGATGTTTACTGCAGGATGAAGTACTTTAGAACTGTCAGTTCATTACAATTATTCTCACTCCTCCGCAACATGTTCATGATAAAAACAATTTTAATCAAACAGTAGTTGATAAAAACATGATAATTGTTTTGAGGGCAGATTTAATTTGAATAGATAAAACTGGTGTTGTCCCTTTAAATGCTAAACCTCTGTTAATGGAGAAATACCAGAACACTTTTGAAAAATAAATACCACTTGCTTGGAGAGACTCAATACAAATTTTAATGGTTGAAAACAGTTAGGACAATCAGCTCTTCATTCATTAATTTGTGAGTGGTAATGCAGCAGGACACTAAGGCTAGGTTTCTGGGAAATTAGTAACCTGCTTTCGTGAGATTGGAAAAGGCGCCAGATTAATGAAGCCTCTTCCCACCACGCCACCCCCATCCCCAAATTGGACTTGCTTCAGTTTATGTATTCCCTAGACATATGCTCTGGCAAATAATGAAGTGTGCTTCTGCAGTCAAAAAGTGACATTTAAAATAAAACTCCCTGATACAATCCTTGATAAATTCTCATTAGAAACCCTGTAAAAGTGAGATTATTAGGCCCGATGGCTCTTTCTTACAACACTGAGGCTGTCACCAATCCATTTCTACATAAACTGGTCTCTGAAAACAAGTGATATTATCTATTTTTCAATGATGTTACTGATATTACCTAGATATTGCAAATTGCTAGATATGCAAGATATCACTGCACCACATTTTTGATATCTAAATTAGATAATTAGATATGTTTAAAAAATATATATTTTTTAACATTTTCTCACAGTAAGACTTAAAGACTTACCTCTTTGATCACACTTTTAGTCATCTTCTCATGCTTTCCCTCCCCCACCCCATCTGGGTGCCCAGTCAGCTGTGTATGTCGCTTTGAAACATCCTTTCAATTTGAAAGGCACTAAATAAATGTAAGATGGAAGACTTGTTCATACCTTTGTTACCTCCTGCCTTGACTGAGCAGGAGGTGATAAAGCGTTCCAGAAGCGCTCGGGGACGCTACCCTGCATAAGGAGCGCTATATAAATGCAAGTTGTTGTTGAGTTTGCAAACACACTCTCTCACCAATGACCCTAGTTATATCAACTATAGCTAATGTAATACTCTTGTCGCCCGAATCCTCACCTACACCACGTGCCAATCAACCTAGTTCTTTCCAGGCTCCACTATAGATCACCGACAAGGTCCTCATCCTCACCTATAATTCCTTTCATGCCCTAGTATCTTACAATCTCTGTGATCTTTTCCTATGCCACACTTTGCTCATCACCTTTGGCTAACCTGGTCCTACTGCACACATACCACCTCCTCTGCACACCATCAATGACCAAACCTTCAGCAGCTACACCCCTAACTTCTGGAACTCCCACCGACTCCCCCTTCATGTGCCTCCCCTTTCTTCAATACTAATTTACATATATATTTTAGCACCTTTCACCTCAGGAGGATGTCCCTAGGCGCTTAACAATACTGGCTTTTCTATTTTTAAATCCTACCTAAAAATCTACTTCTGGGCAGGTTTTTTGTTGGTCATCCAGGTGTCTGACACATGCGGGAACCCATCACTTTGCTTAAGCGTATCCAAACCAAACTGAGAATGCCATACATCCCGCCTACACATGGCAATGGCAGAGGCAGATGGCTGGAACGGAACGGCCACTCTCTCCCTGGAGGGACGGCATCCTGGTTACCAAATTCCGGAAAGTATTAGGCGCAGGTTGGCACGAGCCAAGGCTTGGGCAGCCCAGAGAGCGCGTTGGGGTAACCGCTGGTGTCTAACCGGCTATAACCACAGGGCTTCCCATTGAGAGACTGTCTGGCAAACTTTCTTGCTGCTTTGTCATGTTTTTGTTGCACTGTGCGCGGGCACCTAATTTTAAAAAAAAGGTTAAACCTACTAAACGTGTTTTTTTAAATTTCTTTTGAAGCCATTTCTTACACAGTTTCAAAAGCACTGAAGCTAAATGTGCCACTCTGCTGCCCTGTAGGAGGAAGCATTAATATTCGGCTATTTTGGGGCTATTTGGGGGCTACAAACTGTCCAGTAGTTGAATTCCTGACCGCCCAGCGCCCGCCTGAAGCCTCCTTTACCAAGATGGCGTCGCGCAGCAAACCCGGGCGTCTCATTGGTTCCCAGCCCCTGGATTGGGGCGAGCCCTTCCGGGTGGCGGAGACCGGACCGGTTTACTTCCGGGTGTCGGCGGGCGGTTACCGGGCGACGGGAGGTTTCAGCCACCCCGGGGCTGCCATGTAAGCCCCGCGCCGAGACACGCCGCCGTTAGCCACCCCCCCGCCGTGCCGGAGCCGCTTCCCCCGCCTTTACCGCGTGTGTCCCGGACTCGGGGGAGGATGGTGCGAGGTGGCGGCGCGGTCGCTGCTGTCCGCCCGCCTGTTGCTCTGGCTCCCTCTCGCCGCCGCCCCCGCTATTCCCCGGCCGCCCTCCTCCTCCTCCCGCCGCTGCTGCTGTCGGTGATATCAGCCCTGTGCCCGGTCACAGAGGCCTCGGGGAGAGCCGGGCGGCCCGCTGGAGCCGAGGAGCGGGGACGGGATCGCCAGTCTGGTAAGAAGACTAAGGATTAAGTTGTTCCTATAACCAATCCCCGGCCCCTCCCCCTCAGCCCCTCATCCCCTCATCCCCTTTCTGGAACTTTCTGAACCGGGGACCTCTGGGCAAAGTGCCCCCCTGCCCCCCCCCCCCCCCCACCACCGCGCCCCGCGAACACTAACTGGATCACTAAGAGAGAGAAGAAGATGAAGAAAGCATTTCAGCCCATTTGATCTTATCCTTCCAGATCAGCCGCCGCGGCACCTGCTGACACAGCATGAAGCTGCTTGTTAAATGAGTCCCAACCGAGGTGGGTCGTGGCCTCGGCCATCCTTCTTGGGCCACCCATTTCCAGCCGTTGGTTGCTCCGCGCGTAATGTCATCATTTGGGCAAGTGTTGGCGGCGGTGATACGAGTGACTTGCGTGTGACCGGTGCCACGGCCCCCCCGCTCCCCCCCCCACGCCCAGGAAATGGTTGCTTAAACCTTGTAAATATTTTTACTTTCTTTCCGTTTCACTTCCCAGTCGCGCGACCAAGCTGCTTGGTTTGAATAGCCTGGTTTGTGCCATAACTGGTCTCGCGGGGTGGGGTGGTGCTACAATTGATCTGAGCCCCCTGAGTTGGTGAGGAGAAAAACTGTGAATCCGGAATATAGTTGGGGTGGACGACGAGTGACATTAGGACTGTTGAGGCTCCTACCTGAATAATGGCTTCTTGGATATGATACTGAATGATACCCCATCCCCATTGACTAACCTAGTACAGCAGAACCTTGTTATAATGCTGTTAGGATGTTGGATTTGGTGAAATGTGGGCCCTGGCATTTTCTTACCTAGAAATCATCACACCATCCAAATCCATCATGATGTTTCAGAATATTCTTGAAATCCCATTACATCATTGCAGTTGAAATCCTGCTGTTGAGCTTCAGAACCTGTCATACTGTGGGTTTTTTATGTATGACAACTTATCATTTCAAGCATGATTATATCTTTTGAAGGGAGCAAAGTCATTTCAAGTAAGGTTTGTACTGATGGAGCTGACCAGCTTTCTACAGGCAAGTGCAGTGATGTCACCAGTTGTGATCATTGGTGATCTAATCAGGTTCTCCTGTACCAGGAAAAAGTGGACAAGGAGTCCTTGTAGCATACTGGTTAGGGGACTTGCCTCGCAAGCGAAAGGAGCTGATTCGCAGGGCAAAACCTTAGGCAAGTTGCTTTACTCCACACGCCTCTGTATACCTAGCAGTAAGTAGGAACCCGGTTGTTACTCGATTGGCGGATCGCTTTCCGTGAGTATTAATCCCTTCAGAAAAAAAAAATTTGGTCACTCAATCCATGACTGCTTGTGGGACACTGCTGTGCGCAATTGGATGTCATGTTTTACCCACAAAATATAATCAATTCATTTCACAGTACGTTCTGTGAAGCCCTTTGAGACGTCTCGGTGCCGTGATAACAACAACAACAAAATTACATTTGTAAAGCGCCCTTCACGTTGGGAGGTTGTTCCAAGGCGCTGAACAGTCAGGGATCAAGACCCAAGTGTGGGAGGCAGGGTTGGGATGAGAGATGGTAGAGTGGCAGCTGAAGGCACGGTCAAAAAGGAGGGTCTTGAGTCGTGCCTCAAAGGAGGCAAGTGATAAGGCTCTATATCAATGCAAATATTATATAAAAAAAGTCTTGAGAAATTGTAAAATAAGTCAACATTTTCTTCTATTTCCTTCCTGGAAATGATGAATACTGGTGGAGCAGTTACACAGGTTTTTCACTTGTAAGCCTAAACTGAGTACCTGTAAGCTGTTTGACGGTAGGGAGGCACCATAGGCGAGTCCATCTGTGACTGACACTTGTATTTTCTAGTAGAGAATGCAAATTCTCTCCTAGAAATGGGTAATGAATTTGGTCAGCCCACATCTCGGGTCCAGTGTCGCTGAAGGCATTTCCACTAGATTTCAGGACCTTCTTGGTGAATATGGCTCAGTGCAAAGTACATTTATCAAATAAAGGTGAACAATTTCTAGTGGCGTATATTATGAGTAGTGTAATTATGTTTTATACATTAATGTGCCTTTATAGATGCACTTCCGCAACCATTTGTGTTCTCCAGCTACTGAGCTATTTACTTTTCCTCTCCAAGGTGCTGGAACAAGTTATTGCCTCCCAGCTTTGCTTTTTTCTCTTTCAGCATTTCCTCCTCGAGCCCCTCCTCAAGCTCCTCTAACTCAGCTTCCCTCTCCCCCCACCAACACCACCAAGCTGGGTGCCTAGTTACCAACCTGTCCGCTCAGGGCTCTGGCCTGCTTCACGTCTCCCCCGTTACCCGTCCCATCATTGGTGGGCAGGCCTTCAGTCTCTCTGCTTCCAACCTCTTGACCTCCATCCCACAGTCACTTCGCCTCGCCCCCTCCCTTGCCTCCTTCAAGACCCATCTCAAGACTCTCCTCTTCGACAGTGCCTTCGATCACCCACCTACCCCTACCCTCTCTGCCCTCCACCCCTCCTGATCCCAACCACTAGCTCGGGTGGGGATCCCTGACTGTTCAGCGCTCTGGGATGTCCTCCTGACATGAAAGGCGCTAAACAAATGTAATTTGTTGTTGTTGCTTTGATATGTTCTCTGACATGAATGGTTCAATATGAATGTAAATTATATTGTATATCCTTATCAAGCAAAAATGCATTTCTCAATATGTGCAGAAATCAGGATATCGGTCAGGCCACAGCTAGAGTATTTTGTGTCGTTTTGGGTATTCTGTTATAGAGAGGATATTCTAAGCCTTAGATAGGGTGCTGCTTTGGTTCCCTGCAGGTTTATGGACTGAAGGTCGCATAACCTGACAGAAGGTGACGAATTTAGAGTGGAATGATTAGCAAGAGTGGTTTGGGATTTAGTTGCAATTTATTTCACAAATCTACAGCCTTCTGAGACCTCTAGATCCCACTTGCACCCTGCAGCTAGATTCTTTCCTGTCTGAAGTCTGTCTCTAAATATATCAGCTCACTACTCTCAGCAGGAGTAAGAGAATACTAATAGAAATGACGACCTCAGTCTTCTCAGCAATGTGAAGCCGGCCTATTCCCTACAGTGAGGATAGACGTCATATTGTAGGGGGAAATTGGGAGAGTTATTCATTCAAGTTTAGATAGAAGCAGATAGTTGTGCTCAATGTGTGGTATCACTGAGGTGGTGGCTTTCTATGGAGAAACCTCTTCAAAGCCACGACAACCATTCAGCATTTTTAAATGCATCTTAAACCAATACATAAAAGATCTGAAAGTACATAGCAGTCAATTGGAGAGGAAAGAGTCTGAAAGTAATTCAAAAATCTGATGCTCAGTTTGTTTTCACAATACTTGTAAAGTAAGCATTCATTTTATTTCCATCTTACCAACAACTTGGGTTTATAGAGCACATTATTTTCACAATGCTTCACAGCAGGAAGGAGAGGCAAAGTTGGACACTTTTAAGAGGCTTCTGAAGACGAGCAGTGAAGGTGCAAGTCAAAGGGATTTTAGAAGAGAATTCCAGAGCCATTATCCCAACTTCAAAATCAGTGCTGTGCTACAAATGAGACCGTATTGCCAGCAGAAGCTATATAAATGCTCTGCTTGCGGGAATCTAAGAGTAACTTTTTTAGCCACTCATACATGCAGTTTGGTAAACCTCCTGATATCAGAAATGAAGCTGTGATTGAGCCTACATACTACCTATTTAGCTGTGGAATGACTTCCTGTGTAAATGGGGTCAATTGCACAACACCAGCATCTGATGCAAAAGATAAATAGCCTATCCTCTCATTACAGACCTGCTTCTTGTTGAATTGACCCTGTAATATAAATGTCAATCAGTCAATTAGAATCACGAAATAGTTCATTCTTGGTGTCTGTACTGTTAGCTTCGGCTTATCGAACTCAATTACACACAAGCCTTCTGAAATAATAAGGGCATGTTAATCTTAGATTTTAATATTCATCCACACTTTCCTTGTAAGTGCTTGCTTTTTGCTCTTATACATGTGGTCAGGAAGCATTATGACTTAGGGTATATTCATTTAAAGTGTGCTTGCACATAATGTTTACTGGTGTACACTGCGTTAGAATTTGTATCTTCACTATTTGATTTGCTTTATTGCATGTTGATTCAGAATATTGATAAATACATTCACAATTGTTCTAATGCTCACACAGATCTTTCCCATTTCTCCCTCACTTTCTCTTCTAAGGATATCAGAAATGAAGTTGTGATTGGCCCTACATACTACCTATTTAGCTGTGGAATGACTTCCTGTGTAAATGGGGTGAATTGCACAACACCGGCATCTGATGCAAAACATAAATTGCCTATCCTCTCATTATAGACCTGCTTCTTAATGAATTGACCCTGTAATATAAATGTCAGTCACTTCTCTTCTAAGGAAGAGAAACTTATAGGAGATGGTGACAACAACAACAATTTGGTTTTATATAGCGCCCTCCACGCCGGACGGCGCCTCAGAGCGCTTCACAGTAATGCATCCTGGGGCCGAGCCAGGGGGAGGGGGAGGAAGGTTACCAAAGGCGCGGTCGAAAAGAAAGGTCTTGAGCAGAGACCTGAAAATATGAAGAGAGAGAGCGAGGCGAAGGGAGTGAGGAAGGGAGTTCCTTCCTCGGAGCATAGTGGCTGAAGGCACGGCTGCCGAGGGTGGAGCGGAGGACTCGGGGGACAAGGAGGAGCCCAGACCCGGAGGAACGAAAGCAACGGGCACTGTTTTGAAGAGAGAGGAGGTCAGAGAGGTAGGGGGTGCAGAGGAGTGGAGGGATTTGAAGATAAGGGTGAGGATCTGGAAGTCGATCCACTCTGGGACAGGCAGTCAGTGCAGTCTGACAAGGACTGGGGTAATCGGGGAGCGGAGTTTTGTGCGGGTGAGAATGCGGGCGCAGAGTTTTGAATGACCTGGATGTAGTGGATGGGAGACCAGCGAGGAGGGTGTTGGAGTAGTCCAGCTGAGAGGTGACAAAGGCATGGACCAGG